CGAATAGTTATGGGCATTCATATTTATTACTTTATTATTTCGATGTGGTCGTGGAAATAGGTGTTGTTTATTTTTATTTTATTGCTATTAGAAGGTCATCAAAGCATAAGTGTTTTTTACTGGGGTTTTTGAGGGTTAAAATGTCATGAGCTCATGTATTTTTATTATTAGTCATTTAGGTTAAACTATTATTAACTCGAATAACAACTGATGTACAAGAACTAATAATGACGTCTTTACATATGATGTTTTTAAGCTCAAAATCAAATGTTCAGCTAATTATAGTTCAGTATATACAGACACGGGAAATGATCGTGCTGTGTCCTAGTAACACGATAATTTAAAGTCGTAAGGTCACGGTCACAAGCATTTCGGTACATTTAATTTCGAACTTATAACAGATGTTTGAGGCATTGACTTTTCCATTATTAAAATATACTTGTTATGAGAATTTTTAGATAGGTTGAAGACCATAATTTGATGCATTTTTATAGCATGAGGCATGGCTGGGTATTTAGATCGAGGGAGAATCTTCCAGATGCCTTTTTTTTTGAGCTGTTGAATTGCAGCAACATAGAACACGTATATCGTAATTAGATTTATATCATGATGCTTTATTTTGTGATAAAGAACATTTTAGCTTCATAATGATTTGCGTGTAACTAGTCCAATCGATATTCTAAGAACCCAGAATTGTGCCCAGAAATACATGTATACGATCCAAAATATGTATATCACCTAAACGTTCGTGGTTTGGAACATCTCCATATCCAGACTAAATCTACTTTGTCCAAATCTTTGTGTCATGTCCAGATCTGTCTTATTTAATATATCGCTCAAACAGTGACGGTACGAAACTTTGAGCCCAAAATGTTTTTTTTTTCTTCTTGTAATTGTTCAAACGATTGTGGCAAGAAACTTCGAACTCAAACTGATTTGGTTTTAGGTTCTTTTTCAAACTGTCGTGGTAGTCAACAAATAAATCTGCTTTATTTAATATATATTTCATACGCTCGTGATATGGAATGGCTCTGTATTGAGTTCAAACTAGGTTATTGTTCAAGTGGTCGTGGTACGGAACAGCTAAATCTACTGTATTTAATATATTGCTCGTGATACGGAATGGCTCTGTATTGAGTTCAAACTAGGTTATTGTTCAAGTGGTCGTGGTACGGAACAGCTAAATCTACTATATTTAATATATTGCTCGTGATACGGAACAGCTGTGTATTGAGTTCAAACTAGGTTATTATTCAAGTGGTCGTGGTGCGGAATAGCTAAATCTACTATATTTAATATATTGCTCGTGATACGGAACAGCTGTGTATTGAGTTCAAACTAGGTTATTATTCAAGTGGTCGTGGTGCGGAATAGCTAAATCTACTATATTTAATATATTGCTCGTGATACGAAATGGCTCTGTATTGACTTCAAACTTGGTTATTGTTCAAAAGGTCGTAGTACGGAACAGTTCGTTATCTAATTTGATTTGACTCGTTTAATATGCTAATAATGAGCTCATATCTTTGTTTATAAATATAATAAAATCTAATATTTTCATGTTTGACTACTATATACTTCCAAAAAAGTTTTTAAATTGCTAAACTGTCGAAGAAGTTTATGTTTTATCTGCACGAATTAGAAAAAGTAATATCCAGTGTTTCGAGGAAATCTTTCAAGGATATATTTATGATGTGTGCTCGGTAAGAACACAAAATTTTATAAACAAATTGAGCTATCCAAAGATATGCCGGCGTATGAATCTTAAATAGAAACATTGCTTCTTTCAGAAGTTTGCACAAAATTACACAAGAGCTATCAGCGCATATATAGATGTCCATAATTTTAAAGTGATAAGCTATATAAAAGACAGATCCTTAACTGTAGACACTTTATATTCACAGGTTACTCTTACCTGACCATTTACAGCCCGATATTCCGAAGGGTCATTGTTCTGAAGGAGTAATGTTCCGAAGGGTCATAGTTCCGAACATTGAACGTAAAAGCAATTACACATGTAGGCCTAATGTTCATTCAGGTTGCTGTATTACATAAACAGTAGTATGTGTATAATGTTGTATTAGGGACATAAGCCGGTAACATTTTGAGGTGTATCTATAATCATTCCAGTGATCTATATTATCGTTGCTTGTAAGTAAAGCTTTCTAATCTTTTGAAAGAATATGTCAAAATTCACATTATGATAATAATAACATTATAGAAACAGGATGAAAAAGCTAAATAACAACAAGAAGAATAAACCAAACTCCAATACTAATGGCGGAAATTTTTCGGAATATCGACCTGTCCCTGCCTGACCTAATAGAGGGATTTAACCATCGCTCTTATAGCGCACTCACGGTTCCAAAGTAAAAAGCAAGTTTTTGCGATGAGGGGGTCGCGAATCATGCACCCTCAGATTAACAGTCTGTGTAAACTAACCTCAAGACCACATCATAACCAACAATTTTTGTATCAGGTTAGGGAGCTTATGAAAAGATTCTTAGATAAACGTACTACGTGCTATGTAACACGGGAAACAATAACAACATTTAAGTTTGTTCTCCTGCTTAAACTCCTGGAGCCAATACGAAAAGGAGTAGTACTTAATGAACATTTGAACATAGCCCTAACGTTTCAAAAGTTATACTTCACGATCAGCCTGTAAAAGGCAAAGTGACCACATAGTATAGATAATGAAAATGAATATTATGATCAAAATAGTAACAAAGTTTCTAGCAATACGAGTTGCCATCAGCCCAGATAGGTTTATGAGGTTTACATATTTTTTGGATGGGAGATTTTATTTTATTTTTGTTAATGGAGTATTTATATCTAATACTGAAAGAAATACACACCTAGATAGCTTAGTTTGTACTGAAACACAGAGTGAAATATGAGAATATACACGCTTTAATAGTGCCACTTACTTACTCTACTTTGTGTATGAATATTTACCTTTATGATTCAGCTAGTATCTAAACCATTATTTGACAAAAGTATGTTTGTGTGTTTCCGCTTATAACTGGTGAAATATTGAACTGATTGTCACCAAACCTGACATGTACCTTTAAGATACACCGGAGAATAACAAGGGTGGTTGGGTTCATATCTTACAACCCCTATGGCACCCCCATGGTCCCTACGTTTTCCCCATGCGTTGTGTCTGTTTATAACTGTCATCAAACCTGACACAAACCCTTACCCTCCCCATGGAATGACATAAGGGGAATCGGCGCCCGGATTTGAATCGCTATGTGACCCCCTCCCCTGTATCAGTTAGTATCCAGTAAGATTATACGAACTTGTATGTCTTAGCGTTTGAGGAGCAGTTCAGTTTGAATTAGCAGAATAATAACTGGGCATTTGATAAATCGAAACTTTCAAGTATATAAAATATTATTAACAATTTAAGTTTCCTCTTATTTAACCTCTACCCTAATGGTGGATAACTTTGAAGAGCAAAACTATCAAGCGGTTAAAAGAGTGATCCTAATAACTCAAAAACAAAAAAAAGCACTAATAACATTGAAGTTAATCCCACTAATTACAGTTGGAGTTAGCTATGTGTTTCGCACAAAAAATTAGTAATTTCAATCACGTTTTTGGTCAGTTCTTGACATTGAGTATTATAACAGACAAAAAATAAACTTACTCAATACTGGCAGTTGACAAGTCGGTAATATGAGGATTAATGTATCAGATTTCACCTCATTTACTTCAGCATTTCTGTAAACATCTGCAATTCTGTAAATTTGTTACAAACGGAAATACTAAACTTAATGTGGGTTTAAAAGGTAAAGATCTCAATAAAGAAATCAAATCATCAGCGTTCAGAACCATTATTCGTAACGAAAATTAACCCAAGCGCTTTGAAGTATTCATAATTTTGCATTTACAGAAACTACAAAGCTAATTAGGCCTCATAAAACCGATGAAATTGTTTTGCACTGTGTAGCCATAATTTGAAGCAGGACACAAGCTTGTTTGAAATACTAATTATTCGACTGATTACTCGGACATATTATTATTACGCATTATTATAACTATTAGCATCGTTATAGCCAGATTTATTTATCAATACAAAGAAGATGAATTATTTGGGTGAGATTATGTATCTCATCCATATTTGCGGGATTATTTCTTTATTTATTATTGTCCAACTTTTCAACGAAATGGAGATCGTGTTCTTGATGAAGTTATAAGCCTTGATGCTGGACAGTAATTAAAATATGGAACGAAGCTAGATATGCGGTTGGGACATTGCCCCCCCCCCAAAAAAAAATTGTTTAATGTTTTTTGAAAATAAAGATTTAAATCAAAAGTAATACATATTACAAACCTGGATTCAAATAACCCGTTCTTTTATATTTGTAAAAATTATAGACTCACCAGAATTTATAGTTACTTGAAGTATATATGATCTTAATTACATGTACCTAAAGTGTTTAGAATTTAGCCTCACCCACCCTCTATAATTTCGTAGTTACCCAGGGTCCATACAAGGTTGTTATTCTCCTACAATGTTGTATTGTTGGTTTTAAGAATATTTCTATAACAAAACAATAAAAACAGTTTCAAATAGCGTATTCAATGTTACGTGATATTGTGTTTGTCTTATTTTTGCAATAAAATATTAAATACCTTACCTCAGCATTAACATTTTTTATATTCATATGTTCAGCTTGAAAAATTCATTGCTATGAAACAAAGAAATGAACAGAGAACTACACTTTTGTACGAAATCATTTTTCAAACTTGCTTTACAAGATGGTGATTTATAATAATGGTAGTAATCAAGCAACGTTTAAAATATATTCGGTGTTACTCTGTACGCCAGACGTTCAAACATTAGTTTTTTATAGTTATTTAACACTATAATTCTTAAAACATTAATACCTAAAGTTGGTATTTTCCTAAATTATATTTTGATTTTTTTTTGCTTCACTAGTCACAAAATAACCACAGTATTTAAAATCTTAAATACAGATTGAACTCACTAAAGTAGTTCTTGCAAGCCATTTCTGTGAACTCTGTTTCGTCTTGGTACACACGAATGTGGCGAAAGGGATCATGGTTTCCGGAAACTGCTGGAATTTGAGAAGTTTCTTCGATTAAAGATAGCCAGTTGCTTTCTCCGTTGGCCTTTAAGTTTCTGGAGATTTTAGTTAACGTAAACTCTTATTCTAATAAAATGTATCCAAGACTAGTGCATTGTTGAGCCCTGCACACTCCCTAGCTGGATTGAACGAACCCGGGAAGTCCAGATAGTTTTGCAAGCGGCTGCTCTTCCGCAGCACGGATGCTCCAAGGAGCACGTGAGAAGTTGGAAATCCCCCACGTTTGCTGTCTTTTCAAGCTACTTTCTCCTGCGCGTAGAGATCTCAAGAAAAACGACTAGGTGATATTATTTATATGTACAAACAGGATGCATATTTTCAATTCCAGTTAAACTTAACCCTTGGGAATTATGTGATCTCTCTTGGTTCATTGTGAACTTGGTTTTGCTGCGGTATACGGAAAATGAACCTATCAGCGACTCGCGAATATTTACTGTCGAATCTAGAGGGCGTGCTTATTATAATAATCGAATAAACTAGCTAATCGCATACATTTTTGCATTTTAAGATTCGGGATTCTTAGATATGGTATTAGATATCTTATACATCAGTTTGAAAAACTTCATTGTCTTGTTTTTCAATTAATTTAAACAATTCTTATAAAGTCATATTTCAAGAAATGTTTAAATTTAAATTTGCGTCAGTTCTTATTATCTCTTTCATAACTAACTGAGTATAATGTCTCAACACGTATTTTGGAATTTCACTGAATCCTCGCTCAGAAGTATAACACTCCTGTAAGGAAGAATAATTGAACTTAGTTGCAGTTACGCAAAACTCGAGAACACTGTGAAGACCACAGATTTGTTTTTGTTTTTTTGTATTAAGGGTCTTATGTGATCCAATTATATCAATATATCGTTGGTAGTATGTTTCGTGAGGTAAAACAGTTTTACATTGTATAACATAATAGTATACACCCACTATTACTAATATTAAGCCTATTGATATGCAATACAGTCTGTATACAAGTCATTAAAATAATTAACGAACACTTTAATACTGAATATTTTTGTGTATTAAAAATTACCACATCCATATAAAACCTACATTGCAGTAAGTTTAATAACATAATAACACAGTTTGTATTTAATGTTAGCAACCCCAGAAAAACACTGCTACTATTATATATACATAAATTTTCACCACCAGGAAGTCTGATAACATATCCTAGTTTTATTTGTACATAAGTCAGCATTATCAACAACAACAAGCCAAGTTACCCAATGTATCTGTTCACGGAATAGTCTTACCACCAACGACTTTGATAACATAAAACAGACTCCATTAATAAGCGTAGAGCCACATGCATCAGAGTAATCAAAACACTCAGTCCACTAATAGGCTCCACGCCAGCGGAGGATTTATGGGGAATAGTCCCCCAATAAAGTTCTTGTTGTTATTGTTTGTTTTCTTAACTAAGGCTCTGTTAGGTTCTTTAACTGTTTTGAGAAATAGAGATGATGAATAAATTTTAATTCAGCAGTGCGAAGTTGCTTGTCTTGTTTGTGTTTGAAGATGGCGCTGATAGTTTCTTTACAGAATAATCACTCTTATTCAGTAAATCTGGTAGTTAACATACGAAATGAGCATAACTCAAGCAATCTACTAACATACCATGGTCTTTCTTTTGAATAGTATTATAACATAGGGAAGCTTGATATGAAAACTCTGATACATATTACAGTTTCTATATAAAACAATATAATACACACTACAGTTTCTATATAAAACAATATAATACACACTACAGTTTCTATATAAAACAATATAATATATAGTACAGTTTCTATATAAAACAATATAATACACACTACAGTTTCTATATAAAACAATATAATATACATAGTACTATTTATAAATAAAATAATATAATACATAGTACAGTTTCTATATAAAACAGCATAATACCATTTCTATATAAAACAACACAATACATAATACCATTTATAAATAAAACAGTATATAAACTAGTACAGTTTGGATGTAAAATAATAGAACACATAGTGCGGTTTCTATATAAAACACTACAACAATCATTATTATAACGTCGAGCATCTTCATGTTCAAACGTGCTAAGACATTACCGTTTATGTATATGAAACAGTATAAATCCCATATCACAATGTGGTTATCTAGATATGGACTCAGTTTACGTTGTGAGTTTTGGAAACATGTTTTGAATTCTGTTAAAGAGGGTCATTTGTGCATATCGTGAGTCAGAAATAAATCTGATGATAAGGTGTATGGAACAGAGATATACTTTCAGAATGATTGTTAGAAGTAAAGACAATGCATTATCAGGTATAGAACGTCATGCCTTTTTCGTATGTTGTAGTCTTTTTAAAACAAAGATGATACTGCCGAAACACAGTTTGGTTATATATTTAAGGAGAACTATTTCCGTGTGGTAGTTACATCCGTTGCAGACATTTTAGCCCCCCAGTGGCACAGCGGTATGTCTGCGGACTTATAATGCTAGAGTCGGGGTTTCGATACTCGTGGTGGGCAAAGCACATATAGCCCATTGTGTAGCTTTGTGATTTTATGTTGTTTTTTTATGCCCCATAATAATGGTAAGGTGTAGAAAAGGTTTATTACTACCATATCCGTAGATCATGTTTATCATTTGATCATAAAAAATAAACATTTTAAGTTTTAAGCATAAAACTTTGTACAAATACAAATAATCAAAAGCTTTTTATAACTGGAGATACCGAGAAAGATGTTTATTTTATTTTAACCCCACAAGGACTGTGAACACTTAAAAACAATGAACTGCGTAATGTTCGTGTGATGCTAGCTTAACAGCACAGTACAATCCTATTTAGGTTCTGTAGAATGCATTCTATAAACGGCGTCGTTTACAACACCTCAGAGATAGTCTTTATGTCTTCATAAGTAACATGCTTACGACCATTTTCATTGCTATTTGACCTTTTCATACTGTTACACGTATCCTGGTAAATATCATTCCCTTTTAAGTTGGGCATACCACATGTCTCTAAGTTGTCATGATTACCAAAGAAAGAATACAAATTGAACCTCCAATAAGAAATATTCTGAACCTGCGCATAATTCATTTTTCTGTCACAGATAGATTTTTTATAGATGTCGCTCCTACCACAGAAAAAAAAAACATTTTGAATTTTTGGCTTTTACTCAAAAAGCCAATGCTCTTTTTGATATTTGTGCTAAAGCAACATTGACTTATTTTTTATATATAAAGAATCCTAGGTTAGGGTAATGCACTTTACTGAATGCGTATATATGAAATATGAGTAACTAAAATTTATTTTAAACATTTTATGCTCACTCAATCTTCGAAAAAACAAATATATTTAGCTCTTCTAAAGGCTTTACGAATAAAAATCTAAGAACAATAAATAGAAAAGTATAAATTATGAAAGCACCCATTGTTCATTCACCAAAAACGTAATTTATTTCCAATTTATCATCTTATTATCATCAAATTACATCTTAAGCCTTTCATCCTAAATACTTGAACCAAAATTTCTTCATACAAATAAAGCATTATTTGAGATTTCATTTTCAATACAGAATTTGCTATTAAATCTGTATATTCGTTTGAAGGTACAACATCTCACTTCTTTCTTGGCTCGTTCTTCATGACCAATTGATCGACAATGATGATCAATACGTCTTTCACTGCCTCCCACCATGACCACACTCTCAGTTCTTGTTTCTTCTCCTCCCACCATAAAATGGACCAAGAGACGCTAAGACTACTAGTAAATTTCCATTTTTTGTCAACAAACTACTACGATTATATCTAGAAAAAAATAAAATGAAAAATTTTGAAATATATATAACGTTTAACATTGCACATTTTTATACGCTTTTAAGTTTAAAGTCTTAATGAAAATCAAGGTTTTTTGATAAAGTTGACTTTGAAATGGAACTTGTGGTGCTATAATAAATACGCAAATATTTATTATACCCTTAAACTCCATTAAAAAAAATGAAGCCCCCACCCACGTGACTCTTCTGTAAGCTTGAAGGCTTATAACGCTAAAAACAGAAGTTTAACTTCTGCGGTGAGGAATCTCATTGGCTCAAAGGTAAGTCTGCAGGATTACGACGCTAAAAAAAAACAGGGTTTCGATACCCAGGGTGTGCAGAGGAAAAATTGCCCATTGTGTAACTTTGCGCTTACCAACAACCAAAGGAAAGGTCATTATGCAGCTCCGCGCTTAACAACAAAACAGAAAATGTAAATACCTCTAAGCTAAGTTTACTTAAAGATACTATCGTAGATGTTTACAGGATATATAGTTGCAAAAGATTTTAACATTTTACTTGTAATTCTGTAAAACGTAATTCAAGAGTGTACTTACCGTCACTGTAAGGATATAGTGGAGAAAGAATATAAGCATATTTTGGCTATATTATGAAACGATCTTATACAAAAGCAATACTTCAAGGATAACGATTTTTAATGATTTAATTTCTGTCTTAAAAACTCCAGTAAAAAGTTAGATAGCTACAGATTGCAGTTGAGTATACGAATCCATTATTAGTTGTTTTCAGATTATGGAAGGTCACTAACGTGGAAAAATAACCTACAATGAGAAGAAGTATAGGTACTAATGCAACTGAGCTGTATAACGAAAATAAAAGTAGAAAATGCATTTAAATTAATGCACGAGTCTGTTCGTTTAATAAGGTTCGTTTAAGTTAAAAAGACTAAATATAATGCTATTGTTCGTGAAATAAGGCACCCTTTAAACTCATGAAACTAAAGTTAACACTTATTTTTACTGGAAGAGGCTCTATGATTGGTCTCAGTTGATGACTTATTATTATTAAGGACGCCTGTCTTGTGAAATTAAGTTGATGAGTATAAAAAAACTAATTTAAGATTATAAAATTCCATTCAGAGTTGATAATAAATTTATCTACTAGAATATTCTTCATTTTTGGATCATTTGTTACTAGGCCTGTATTAAAATATAATTGTGAAGTTTAGAAAAATCCTTAGGAAAAGCACTGAGGTTTCGATACCCGTGGTAGGCACAGCACAGATAGCCCATTGTGTAGCTTTGTGCTTATTAACAAACAAACAAATTGTTTGTGTTTATTGGTATTCGCATGTATATAAGTATATCTATAAAATATGGAATAGACTGTAAAAGAGCTCAAATATACCATTTGGATATAATTTATAGCCTGTATTTTTTTATAGAAAACATTATAATCCAACCAAAACTTAAAAGAGCTTGGTAAAAACACTTATTGATGTATATTACATTAAAACAAAAACATTATTATCCTAAAAGGGTTCATCTATCTATCTACCTTTCTATGTATA